TGCCAGCCCCCTGGGGCTTCCCAGATGGTGCTAGTGGTAAAGAGCCTGTCTGCCAGTGCAGGAGACGCAAGAGACCCAGGTTTGATCCCTGGGTCAGGAAGGTCCCCTGGAGGAGTGCATGGCAACCCTTTCCAGTATTCTTGCCTGGAGCATCCCGTGGAGGAGCCTGGCAGGCTATAGTCCAGGGGGTCGCAGAGTCAGACACTGAAGCAGCTTAGCACAGCCCCCTGGCTTTGTTAATAAAGTCTCACCGGCACAGAGCTGTTTGTTGACATACTGCAGTGGCAGAGCTGAGAAGTTATAAAGGCAAAGCCAGAGACTGACCCTTTGCAGAGGAGCATGTGTACCCCTGGTCAACCCTCACTTCTTGAGGCCTTGTATTAACCTCTTGACCCTTCTCAGCTGCTCTGGGACAAGAAATTAGATCAACGAGTTTGCAAAGTAAAAGCAAACAGGCTTTCAGTGGGAGGGGGCAGGGTCAGCGGCCCTCCCGTGGGTGACCGGCAGAGGCTTGGTGTGTGGGCTTCCTGGCGTCCTCTTTTGCCCGTGGGACTCTCTGCTTCCTTCTGGACTCCACACCCAAATGCGTGGCAGCATCTGCTTGTGCAGGACACAGGAGCTGCAGGGCATGGATGGTGTGCAGCTTGCCGTGCTCCAAGCCCCCTGCTCCCCGCGTCTCGGTCCTCGGCTCCTAAGTGGTAGCGTTGACTCGCATCCCATCAGCGCTCTGGTTCCTGAACCTGTGCAGGGCGCTGCTCTCACCTTCCCGCCCCTTTTCCTAGGGATGCCGTCGAGACACTGGAGGCTTGTCTGGATGCTGAGTTGCCACCTTGTGCTTCTCCAGAGAGATGAGAAGAGATGAGGCCCTCAGCCGTGAGGCAGGCATGCGCATTGGTGCGCCCTGGCAGCCCCGAGTTGCTCTGTGGTCCATGTTCAGTCTCCCCGGAATGCCTTCCTCTTGATGCATCAGGAAGTGGGAGGTGCTGTTGGCAGCTGTGGGCTGCTGATTGGCACTACAATGGGGGAGTTTCTAATCCCCCCAGTGACTAGAACTTTTCTGCTTAACCACATGTGCCCCTTAAGATCCCTTCAAAATCTTACAAGCTCAGTGGAAGTTTTCCCCGTATTTGTAAGATCTGGTTTCTCTTTTTTTATCCTTCACATCCTCCTTGTCTTCTTCCACCCACCATCCACAGTCCCCAGTTAGGACCTCGTGGATCACTGGGAGACTTGTGCCCTTAGCTTGAGGTGTCAGAAAGGGCACATTAGTTTGGGAGAGTGGTGTGGGCCTGATGGCAACCAACCGAAGGTCATCTGGCTTCATGACATGCAGTCCTCCCTAGGGTTCTGAGTGTTAAGATGGATCCAGAAGAAGTGATGCTGATGGGGCCCTTCTGTGTGGATACAGATACGGCAGAGGAGGGGGCGGGCACTGAGAGGAGGTGCCAGGGGTTGAGAAGTGGAGCGGCCCCCCTTCATCAGCCTGCTCAGGGGGTCTGGCCGTGACCTGGCAGCGGGCATCATGAGGGCTGTGGGTCAAAGGGCAAGGGGTATCTCTCTGCCCAGCACACCATGCCCACCCTGGACAGGGTGTCCAGCTGTCTGCCCTGTTTAGCATGGGAACTAACCGCACCCTCTCCTGCCTCATAGAGACCCCAGGAGGGTACAATTCTAATCCAGTATCAGCGGGCTTAGAGTCTGGTGGTGAGAGGGGGGCCTGGGAGTGGTCCTTTCTGAGCGAGCAGCGGCAGCGATGGGCAGAGGCAGCAGGTGTCAAAAGGCATCAAGTTGTACCCACGGTTAACCCCAGCTTTGGACTTCCTGGATGCTCTCACCCTCATTTCCTGTTTTCTGAAGTTACCGTGGAAATATCGGGCACCACAAAGACCAGGAAGTCACATACGCAGCAGATTAATTCTTTAATCAGATGTAAGCCCACCAGAAAGAGGCTAGGTTTTAGAGGAAGGTTGTTTGTTTTTTTCTTTCTAATTTTTTTTTCCTCCCTCTCGAATATTTTCTGTACTGAGACCAACACCGAAGGGTGTTAAATTGGTTCTGAATGTCCAGCTCTGGCTGTCCACATTCTTGTAACGATTTCATTAGCCTGAATTATCCACTTTATTTTCTTGTAATGGGATTAGTTGTACTTGAGGCTGCCGAAGACCAGAGGGGCAGAATGGTGGTGGGGAGAGCGTTCGCCACGTGTTCCATTAGCTCAGCCCGGCAGAGGCGTGGAACCCACCAGAGGGCATGCCCCAGGCCGCGGGCGTGTCTAGGAGCTCTCCTTCCGAGAGGATGAGTGGACACGGGCTGTCCCAGTGGGCTCGCTCAGCCCGAGGAAGACGGAGAAACCTGGGTCTGGCTGAAGGATGCCTCCTTGGGGACAGTTGTTCTGATTATCTTGTAACACCAGTAGGACACATGGAAAAGATGGAGCACTGCTGCTTTTTTCAGGGCTCCAAGAATCATGCTGTCACATCTGGCCCTCTTAACCTCTTCTCTATGCTGGAAATGCCCGGGGTGCCTCCAGGAAGGGCCCTGACCTGCCCTGCCTGCGTCTTCTCAGCTTTGACCTGACACATCACAAGGGCTTGGGAAGAGTCACTGTCTTGGCCCCAGTACAGATCTGTGTGGAAGACAGTGGTGTTACTGATAAAACAGCTTCCCTTTCTTCCTTACGTGCGGGAACCATGGTGTCAGCAGCCCGTGTCTGGCGGGCTGATTATTCCCATTTTACAGATAAGGAAGCCGAGCCTCAGAAAGCTGACGTCAGGCACAGGGCTGGAATCGAAGCCATGTCTGACTCCAGACTTAGATTCTTTCCGCGATTCTGTGACTTGGCCCCTCGTGGTCAAAACTAGACTCATTCTGAGCATTCCCCTACTTTGCATAGTCCCAGGTGAATTCAAGGTTTCACCTGAGTATTCAAGACAAAGTCCTTTCACCCGGAGGTGTGTGACTGTCTTACTTTTCTTTCTCTTCCAAATTGGACTTCCCAGCTGTGTTCCATTGAATACCAGTGTCTTGGGAGATGCTCATTTGAAGGGAGGAGAGATTCGATGGCTGGATGAGCTTGAGAAACTGTGTTTTCTCTCTCACTCTTCCAGATAAATCCTCCCTGCTTGAGATATCTTGAAGGCACTGACAAGGTCTGCAGCCAAGAAGCTTGCTGAGTTCTGTTTAGCCAGATCTCTCCTACATTTATTTAATTTCAGAAGTCTTCTTAGACCAAATACCTATAAACATCTTTCAGGACAAATTTGGAAAATGTTGTTTTTTAAAAAAAAGTTACCTGTGATTTCAAAAATCTCTTTTTTTAATGGCATTTTCTGCTTGAGGCCTGTACTTGGATCCAAAAGACAATGTTCAGTCTGGGGCTGGGTCCTGAAGAATGGTGAGGGGCAGTTCAGTGGCTGCATGTGTAGCCACCCACGAAGGTGTCCATGCCTGGTTAGGTGCTGTGTGGCAAATGTGACGGGAAAACCCTCTCTGTCCTCAGGGAGCCCAAGGGGGCCAGGAAGGGTAGGGAAGGGGCCCAATCTGGGGTAATAAAGAGAGGAGGAAATTCAATCACTTAGGAAGTAGACCAGCCCTTCTGATCACTTAGAATCGAATCAGAACAGGACTTACACGTGGGGATGCTAAAAATGGGGAGTCGGATATCTTTGGCAACTCAGCACTGAAAATGTTTTGACTTTGTTAACCAGTATTTGAAAACTCCCCATTTCTTCAAAGAGTCTGGACTGCAGACCTCTTTAGATTAAAGATCTTCCCAGCTGGCTGTTCGGGCTGGGACCAGGGGGTCCCTGCCCACTCTGGAGCAGTCGTCCTCAACCTGGGCAAGTGCACCCTCACCTGGAGGGCTTGTTACTATCTGGACTGCCTGGTCTCCCCAGAGTTTCCGATTTCAGAAAGAGAGTGTGCTGAGACTTTCTGACAAGCCTCCCAGATGACACTGATGCTGCAGGTCCAAGAATTGCCCAGAGTTGGGACTTTGCCAGTTTGCCCCAGCTCTTGGCCCCCTCCTGTCATCTGTCTGGCCCCAGAGATCTTTGACTCAAGGGCCAGCATGCTGTCCCTTACATTGTCCTGGCCCTGGCACATCTCAAGATGTTCTTATGCACCTTGCTCCCTTTCTCTCTCTCTCTCTCCCCTGATTATCAGTCCAGCCTGGAAACGACTCAGCCAGGGTCACACAGGCGGTGAGGGCAGAGCTGGGCCAGGGCCCCTCTGCCAGAACCTCTCGGGAGAGTCTGGGCTCTACCTGGAACGCAGGCCCCAAATCTGATTCAGAGATACCACTTAACTGCTCATCCCTGAGAGGGTCACGCCTGCCTGCAGAGAACCCTGTGAAAGGCTATTGAGAGAAGCTAAGCGCTGTCCTCCACACCTCCTTTCTCCCTTTCGTGGAAACCAAGCCATTCTTCAGCCTCCAAGAAGCTAGAATGAAAGGACTAGTGCGCCGATGGCGATAAGGTAACCTTTCCACATCCAGCTCTCACCATGATGAGCGGTGAGTCATTGGAAAAGTTCACTCTAAAAGGCACTCTTCAAAAAGCGAGCGAGAACAGAAGAAGGAGGAACAACTCTGAGCTTAAATATGCCTCCACAAACTGGCTCCCAAACCCATTGCCCACCCCCCTCCGCCACCCCCCATGATAGAGTAGAGGCCCAGCTGGGGGTCAGTACACACCTTTGTAACCTTCTGGGGGAGCAGTCACTGCAGGTGGAGCCTCGCACCAAGACCCCTGCTCCTGGCTGCAGCTTGGCCAGGGTTGTCTGGAGGGAATGATGTCATTGCTCTCCGACCCAGCAGGGCAGAATTCTGAACCCCCTTGTCTGGGCTCTGGTCCCTTGGTGAGTAATCCAGCACCACCACCCCCTCCCCCCCCAAGCCCCGTTTTGCTGGCTGGTTCTCACTCCCTGCAGTTGAAGGAGTCCCTGTGGCTACTTTGGAAGGAGCGTGGACCTCCGGGGGCCAAACGCTCCCTGTGATACCGTGTGGTTGTGGAACATGAGAGGGCATCCTGCAGACAGAAGGACTGCGTGTCCTGGCCTAGCCCCAGACACGCCGGTGTCTGACGCAGTCGCGTATGCCTTGTGTGAGATGGTCAGAGCGGAGGAGGGAGACCTGGCGCTCACCGGGGACTCAGCCAATGTCAAGTGAGTGTTTTTGTGAATGTTTACAGGGTGTTTTCTGTGGGCTAGGTGCAGGCCAAGGTTCTGCACATGCCACAGAGCCTAGACCCTGCTGTCTCAGAGTGATCTGTCTCCTGTGGTTCTTTCTGAACGGCAAGGGAAAGACAGGCAAACAAGCCGCTCCAGACAGCGCTCAGCGGCAGAGAGTGGCTGGTGCAGCAGAAGAACAGTGTTAGAGTCTGGGTTCTGCTTGGAACGCAGAAGGCCTCATTGAGAAGGTGGCATTCAAGCTGAGACTGGATGACAGGAGGGTCGATTGTGAGAACGTCTCAGCATGGAGCATTCTGGGTTATGAGAAGAGCAGAGTCATAGGTCCTGAGGCACGGCCAAGCTTGGTGGCTTTGGGAGCAGGAAGAGAGCCAGAGTGGTCAGATTAGCCTCGGTTTCCCAGTTTATGAGGCTGGAGGATTGGACGAGGCAGCCTCAGCTAAAGGCTTTGCTCTGTACACATTCCAGCCGCGGGAGGTTTGGGTGGTGGGTCTTGTTGCCCGGCTTCCTCAGCTGCAGAAACCCACCTGTCCTAGATGGAGGGGGGTGTTTATCCTTAGGTGTCCGTTCAGCCCATCTGTCCCTCCATCCTGCTTCAGCTGCGGCCCTTAGCCACATGGCGACTCAGTAAGGAGAAGAGCCATGAGACGGGACACTGGGCGAAGCAGCTGCCACCCTGCCACATTCTCCTACCTGGTGGGAACTACTCCGTGGGTCCGTGAATTCACGGACAGGCTCTTCATCAGGCTGTGGGAACAGAGGGAGAGCAGTGAGCAGGGAGCAGAAGCCCCAAGCTGTGGACGCTAAGCAGCTGAGATGGGGAGGGGATTGATCCCAGAGTCCTCTCTTTGGACCCTTGGGCAGTGGTGAGGAGGTGGAGGGGTGGGACTCACCACCTGCCTACCAGCCCAGGATCCCTAAGAACAAAGTTGATGTCTGGCCCACCCTCACCTGTCACCCGGCACCTTGCACACAGAGCCCTTTGGCCCATTATTGATGGACAGGACAGACCGCGCAGACGGCTGGTGAGCAGAGGTTCAGGGACAGACTGCCCACTTGGGGTTCAGCCTGGCTTATGACCACCTGTGGGACCTTGGATGGGTCACTTCACCCCCTGTCAGAGGTAATGACTCTGGGTGACCTTGGAGAAATCACATAATTTGAGCCTCAGTTTTCTCCATCTGTAAAATGGGCACAGCAGTGCCTCGATCATGAGGCTGATGTGAGAGCGTGTGCAGCCCATGTTTAACACACTGCAGGGCACGTGGCACTGAGAAGATGGAATAGATGGATCTGTCACGTGTGTTAGAAAATCACTGGTGGCAGTGGTATACTGGAAAGGCTTCTAATACCAAGAGATTTACCCTTTTTTCTTGCTCTGGAAGGAACAGAAAGAAGCCTGCAGTTTATTCTTATCACAAAACCCGTCCTTCATCTCATTCTTGTTCAGACCACAGTATTGTTCCAATTCTGAATCCCTTGGGTGGCAGCTGATTTTTCCCCTCCTCAGTAATGCCTTGAGCACAGGTGGAGAGATGTTGGACTTCCCCCATGTGACTCGGCACGTCTCCTGGGACCCTGGTTCCTCCAGTGGATCCAAATAGGAGAGCGATAAGGACTTGTGTCCTGGGAGCAGAGGGGCCGAGGCCCCCAAGGACGTGCCTGACCTCCACTTGGTGTCAGCCTGCGGGCTGGAAGGTTAGCCTGCTCATGAAGCCCCCAAACCCAGGCATCAGAGTAACTGCAAAATCATCAGGTTCGGCATCTCTGGAGGGCTCTGTCTCTGTCTCCCCCTCACTTCCTTCCCCTCCCCAACCCATCCCATCACTTCCGTGGAGGAGAGAGAGGCTGATTCATCCCTTTCAGTAGCAGAGCCAGAAACAACCCCCCACCCCCCACCCCCTGAGCAAAGTTGCCATCCAGGACTGCAGCAGGTCTGGTCACAACCTCAAGGGAGGGTATCCCTACGCACGCACACACACACAGACACACACACACGTTGTGTCTACGTTCAGACCTTGTGTGCAAACACAATTTGCATGCCTGGACTTGTTTATGAGGCCCAGGCATAATTGGCTTGCCTCGCTCCACACCTCGGCACCCCCTCCCACTTCCCCTCCCCCGCCACCCCCACCACACCTCGAAAGAAAGGAGAAACGTGACAACAAACTCCAGTTGTCCAAAGCCCACGAATCCCCTACCAGTCACACGCTCCCCTGGCGTGGCGGAGACGGGGGTGGGGCTGCGGCGTGGGGGGAGTGATCGGTGAACCCGAGGTGAATGAAATAATTGGAAAAGTGAGGTGTGAGTTTGTTACTGAAGTGTGAGCGTGGTGGGGGAGGGAAGGCGGGCCATGTTTAAAAGCTCGGTATGTCCTCTTTATTCACAGCTTCTGATACAGTAATTGCTATTTTGTGGTTTCTATTATCTACACAGTGGGGAGCATCCGTGTCTCCTTCCCAAGTGGTAGAGTCTGGGCTTGGGTAGGGGCGGGTGGCAGGGTGGGGTTTCTGGGTGCCCTGTCATCTTCTCCCTCTCTGGTTCCCTGGTGGCCCTGCCCAGCCTCACCCAAGACTCTGCTCCCAGGAGACACACACAACTTCCTGCAAAAGCTGCTCTTAAACATGGCTCCGTGGGCTTTGCTGTCAGATAAGAACCTTAATAATGGTTAGTATTTATATATCGCTTATCTCCAAGGAGCTAAAGGTACTTCATTGATTTTCTCCACCGCCCTGCCCCCCCCATCCCCCCGTCCCACCACACCAACCTTTTTTCTTTTTCTATTTTAATTCTCTTTCAGTATCTTTCTGAGATCATTAGTGTCGGCTTTATTTTCTCCCACACAGTAGTTTCAACCAAAGCCGTCCACGTCCCCAACAACTGCCAGGAGCGAAAGCTAGCTTGGGTTTCGCCTCCTGGGCCGTGGGGCTTAGGTGGGCCACTTGGCCTCTTCGGCACTTTAAGTTTTCTCATCTGTAAAGACAGGAGGCAGCGACTCTTAACCCACAGTTGTTGTACCTGGAAACAGTATATTTAAAAGCCCTAGCATGTCGCAGGCACTCTGTTGTTGGTCGCTGGGGTGACAGCCACAATGACAGTGTCTTGACGCTCCAGCCATTCATTCTGGGGCTTCACAGGTAGCGGTTCTAAGATCTAACCCTAATCTTTCAGCTGTTTCAGAAGCCCGCCTCTCTCTCGTCACAGTCTCGGAAGGAAGACGGGCCCACCATCACCCTTCCCCAGTCCCCCAGAGGATGCCGTTGTTCAGTCTCTGTCAGGTCTGACTCTTTCATGACCCCATGGACTGTAGCCCACCAGGCTCCTCTAGAGGTCCATGGGATTCTCCAGGCAGGAACACTGGAGTGGATTGCCATTTCCTCCTCCAGGGGATCTTCATGGCCCAGGGATCAAACCCATGTCTCCCGCATTGCAGGCACATTCTTTACCATCTGAACTACTGCGGAAGCCCCCACCCCGCAAAGAATAGTTTTGGTTTTGTTTTTTAAGCTCCTCGGGTCCTGGGACACAGCATTTCCTTGGCTGTGCAGATGTCTGTCTGGACAGCCTTGATGGGCTATGACCTCCCCCTCGGCCTGCCGTCTCCCTGGGACAGGACCCCAGCTCCCTGGTCCCCGCCCTCATCCCTTATGGATTGAGGCTGCCCATCCATCCAGGCTTTCCCCGCCGAGCTCTCATATCCCACTTCTCCAGGCCACGTGAGCATGGCTCCTTCAGCTTCTCCCCATCAGCTTTATTCTCCACCTTTTAATTATTTTCCTCGCCTTTCTCCGGACCCTCAGCTGCTTACCATGCATAGGGCGTCCACAGCTTGCAGTGCTCTGCAGAGAGGGAGGAATTAACCTCACCAGTCTCTCCCTCTGTCTGTCTCTCGCGTGCGCACACACACACACACACATATACACACACAGAGGCGAGCTCCCCTAAAAGGAGCCAGGGACCGGCGATTGGAGCCCCTGAGGGCAGAAGCAGGGGGTTTGCACACAGTGCAGGGGTGGAAGGAACTGGAACCCAGTCAGCCACCCTCACTGTGGTCTTGGCCAAGTCACTGGACCCCTCACAGCCTACACAGGGCAATCCTTGCCACCCCCTACACTCAGCCTTCCTGCTTCACGCCAGACAGACAGGGCCACACCCCGGGGACAGAAAGAAAGTCCCCACTCCTGAAAGTGGTCCCCTCCAGATAACTGAAGGGGGTGAAACATTGGGCAGTGGAGAGAGCTCCGGGTTCACATCAGACTCTCCCCAGCTCACTCGCCAGCCCTGCCACCTACTCGCAAGAAGCACTGCCTCCCTGAACCTGTTTCCTCATCTGTAAAATGGGCATGGTGAGACCAATGATAATGAACGTTTGTGCTGTTGGTGTGTATACCCTGTGGCCTGGTTCCTCCACCCTCCAGGTGTGGGTGTGATGTCCCAGTGGTTGTGTCCCCCTTCCACTAGGGGTACTATTTCATCATTCCAAAACTACCTTCAGACACCCACTCTGAGCCAGGCCCGGGGCGCCTCGCCACAGATCCAGTGATGAGCAAGATAGAAAGATGTGGTTTCTGCTCTCACAGAGCTGGGTTCCAGCCCCAGGGGGAGGCAGAGAATTACTCAGGTGTCCACATGGCAGCACCCTGAAGCACAGAGGGCCCTTGACCCCCAAGCAGATCGGCCAAGGCTGCTGCCTTAAGTCAAGGCCTGAGAGAACCTGGAAGCCGGGGCAGGAGTGGAGGGCTGGGTGGAGAGACCAGCACACCCATAGGTTGTGTCTGTCCAGCACCCAGCATGGCCTGGATGCATACAGGTGCCTGCCAAGGTCCCCTGTGCCCGAGAGCCTTCTCAGACCAGGTTTGAATCCATCTGATGTTCCTGCCCCCACAGCCCCTGTGGCTTTCTGAAGAACTTGGGGCCAAAGGGCTGCTTATATTTACCCAGAGGGGCCTACCAGAAAGTGTGTGTGTCCTTTGCCTTCTGAGTCCAAGGCCAGCCCTGGAGGAGGCGCTGGGGCTTCGCTGGAGAGAGAGGCAGGCTGTCTGTCGTGGGGCGCGCCGGCCTTTAGGTGGCAGAATAAAGCAGGGTTTGTGGCCTGGGCTCCGCTGGGCGCTCTCCCACCTCACCTTCCTGCTCATCCCCACCTGCCCAGTCTCCGGGCCCTTCCAAGTCTGCCATGAGCCCCAACTGGGGTGGGGGGAGCTGGGAAGACTGACAGGGCGCCCCACCCCCAGCCCCTCCCGGGAGTGGGCCGGCCTCCTCGCCAGCAGCACCCCCCCCACCCCCACCCCCCCGCTCAGAGAGAGGCCAGGAGGGAGAGTGGAGCGGCCGGGCACGCACCAGGGAGACGTGCAGATTCATTTTGAGGCCTCATAATGCCGCATTTACACACCATCCTGCCTCCAGAAATTGGGCTGGCCGATGCCTGGTCATGCTGGCAGGGCCGCGGGTTAACTCCTTGGATTTAGCTTAGATCATTTCACGAGAGCTTACAGCCTTTACTGTGTTTTTTTCGCCCAATCAGTCTCTGGCCCCCGAGGCATCCTGGACTGTCATGGGTAGGCACATGTGCCCCAGCACCCGCAAGTGTGTGTAGATTTTCACATAAAATGATACCTCTCTTCAGATGCCGAGCACATTAAATATTTATCGGCAGCAATCTTGTGCGTATATGTTTGATAAATGGACCTGAGGATCAGGTGGGGGTGAGGGGAGTGGGGTAGGGTAAAATCAAGGGAGGCCTCATCCTTTTGTCCCAGAATTTCTCAAAGGTTTACCTTTGGGGGGCAGGAGGTAGAAAGGAGGGGAGGGGCTGGGGGGATGGCCAGGGACCGTGTTTACCTGTCTGATCCCTATTGGGAGGAGGCGGGGGTACGAGCCATTTTCTCCTCCAGAGCTTGGCCTGACTTCACTTCAGTTCAGTTCATCGCTCAGTTGTGTCCGACTCTTTGCACATATCAAAACCCAGAGGCAGGCGAGAGAAGTGGAGTTCAGAGGGCGTGGCTGTGTGTCATTCAAGCGCCAAGCGCTGAAGGAGCATCTCAGTTCCCGTGTCTGGGATCAGGGACTCATCCTGCTTACACAGTGCGGCCGTGGGGCCGGTTGCAGGTCGGGAGACCGTGCTGACCCTGAGTCCAGGACCCCCGGGGCACACATGAGCAGGCCCTGGCCCTGGCCGCTGCCTCCCCAGCCTGGTCAGGTGTGCAGGAGGCTGGATCCCCGCCCCCCACTTGCTGAATATTTACCCCCACCCCGCAACTCCCCAGGGGCAAAGGGCGGATGAGTATGTCTGCCCATCAGAAAGGAAGGGAAAAGTCTCCATCAGCCGGGTCGTCCCCTTGCTGCCTGGTGTGATGACCAAGGCCCGAAGGGAGGAGGCCACCCACGCGCCCCCACCAGGGCACGTGCTGGCCAGTGGGGAGCCGACACCAACACGAGTGTGTGCACACGTGTGCGGGCTCTAAGCACCCCGCTCTAATGACTGGCAAGGATCAGTGAGTGGGGATCGGTCCTGGCCCACCCTCACATGCGCCCCCCACCCGGCTCCAGTGCAGGCAGTTCTGAAACTCGCATGTTTTTGTTCCAGCACCTTCGGGGAGCTGAAGACCGTCCGCTTGCCGAAGAAGATGACCGGGACAGGCACGCACAGAGGCTTCGGCTTCGTTGACTTCCTCACCAAGCAGGATGCGAAGGTGAGACCAGGGCCCCTCCCACCCAGCCTCTCCTTTTGGGGCCGTTTTGCCAAAGAAGCAACAAGGCCTCTTAACAGATGAGGGTGCCCCCTTCCCGCCCCCTGCCCATGTGGGTTTCCTCTCCGCTCCTCCCCACAACCCTGCTCATTTGTATGACATCCTTGGAAGAGAAGACCCTGGATTTTGTGTTGGAGGAAGGGGCAGTTCAGGGTCAGACAGCAAGCACTGTGGAGAGTGTTGAGGGAAGCCGGTGGGTGGTGCTCAGTAAGGTCGCCCCCAGGCAGCCCAGCGGGAACCCCTCGGTCACCTCTTTCCCCGCTTCTTCCCACTGCTGCCTGGGGCTTCTGTTTTGTGCTGGTTTCAGGTGAGGTCAAGCCAGGCAGGTGCTGCTGTGTGTGAGCACAGGTGCAGAGCTACTTGAAGAGAGCTTTTATTTGAGAAGCAAGGCGGCCTCTCCGGGTCTGGGGCTTGGCGCACGGGGGTCCTGAGTCCTCGTCCTCTCTCCGCAGCAGCAGAGAGGGGCAGAGGCCATGTGACCCGGTTCATTCAGCTGTGTCCGTGGTCGCTGGGCTCCCTCTGTGAGCCCATGCCACGGCCCGCCCGCCCCCACCCCGGGGCTTCCCTTGAGGGCTCAGTACAGCGGGGGGCAGCTCACACTGAGGGCTGGCACGCGCCCTGCTTGCAACGAGGCATCTTCGGAGAAGCAGAGTGTCGGCTGGGAGCACACCCGTTCGCCTGCTGCAGGGGTGGAGCTGGAGGTGGCAGCTCAGGAACACAGCTGCGGCCTTTGTGGGCCCCGGGAAACGCGCACCGGCAGAGAGGGTGCCCCGAGACCCCGGCAAGCCTGCCAGCCAGCCACCTTTGTCTCAGCGTCTTGAACTCAAGTGCCTGCTTTGTTGACACGTGGGCCATGTTTGTCCAGACATCTGCTCTTCTTTCTTCTCGCCTGGCAGCCCTCCCTTGCCTCCCATCCTCGTGGCAGGAGAGACCGCACCCCCTGCATGCTGCCAGCGCATGCACGGCCTTGACACTCACCAGCATGGGGTGAGGGATCCTCGTGCTGGCTGGGCGGGAGGCTGGGAACAGCACATCCAGAGCACGGCTCTTTAACGGCTGGCCACTCTGCTTTCTCAGCTTTGGCCTGTTCCTCAGTCTCCTCCTCTGTAAAAAAACAGGACGATGACAGGTCCCACGGTCACGGAGTGAAGGCAGATGGTGACATGGGTCCTGGCACGCGGTGCTCATTTGCACCAGCCCAGGTCCCTTCAGGGCCACCAGCCCTCCATCTGTGGACAGGAGAGGAGAGGCCTGCAAGATAGTGCTTTCTCCACTGTGTCCATCGAGCCCTGAGCTTCCATGTTTGTGTAGAACCACCATCATCTTCTCTATGTCAGGGAGACTGTGACCAGAGGAGAAATGAAGGGGCTTCACTCCTGGTCCCTAAATCACACCTTTTATTCAGGGACAGTTGGGTCTCCCAGGTTGCTCAGTGGTAAAGAATCTGCCTGCCAACGTAGGAGACACAAGAGACACAGGTTCAATCCCTAGATCAGGGAGATCCCCTGGAGGAGGGCATGGTAACCCACTCCAGTATCCTTGCCTGGAGAATTCCATAGACAGAGGATCCTGGTGAGCTACAGTCCATGTGGTCTCAAAGAGTTGGACAGAACTGAAGCTACTTAGCATGACACAGCACAGCCAGGGCTGGCTGTCAGGGCACAGACTCTGCAGCCAGGATCCTAGTACTTACCTGCAGTGTGACCTTGAGGGGGGTCCTATATGCCTCAGTTACCCCCCTCCGTATATAACAAGAATGAGATGTCCCTCATCCTGTTGTCGTGAGGTCTGAATGAAGTGATAGTCTCAGAATGGGATTTGGCCCCCATGAGCTGTGTGTTCGCTGCCATGAGAAGGATGGTGAGGGTGATGGTGGTGATGATTTGAGAAGGCAGCATAGAAGGAGCAAAGAGAGAAGTTGTCAGCACTCCTCCAGCTGGAAGCCGAGGCCTCTCCCCAGAGCTTGACAGCAGAATTAACGTGGCTCTCAGTGCCCAAAGGGTGGGACCAGATGTGAGCTTCCAGCCTTGAAATTCCACGTGCCCCCACCCCCAGGACACAGTCAATATCGCATCGTTCCCTGGGATCATTAGAACGGGGCAGGGGGGCAGGGCAGTGCCAGCGCCCACTTGGCCAGCGCCCCGCACTGGAGGCCAGGCTGCAAATGTCCTCTGCCAAGCCCAGCACAGCCCTCTGCCGATTCATGGAGGTGGCTCCTCCTCCCCTGCCCACCCCCGCCCCTTCTCTCCCTTCCATCCTGGGCTCGGGGAGGAGAAAGGGCAGCCCAGGACAGCGAGGCTGCAACCCCACACCCCCCCGGGACTGGCTCTCGCTGCCCCTCACCTCAGACAGGCGGCAGCCGGGCTCCGGAGCTGCCCGGGCCCCGACGTCCCCCGCCTCAGTGTCGGGACGGCAGGCCCTTTGTGCCACCGAAGAGGAGCGAGCTGGTCTCCCGTAAAGTCTGAACCCGCCTGGAGCGCGTCTCTCCTGCAAAGATCCCTTTGCTCTTTTTGCTTCCCGGAGAGGCCGCCGTGCCTTCTCCCTCTCCTTCTCCCCGTCTGTCTGAAGAACTTTATTGTCTCCCGAGTGGAACATTAGCGCTCTCCACTGACCCATAGCGCCGTGCGCGCTGCATATCGGTGAATGGAATTCTGAATATTGTAAATACCTGGTTAGCTCAAGGGTGGGCGTGAGTTTGAAGAGGGAAAGCAACGCTGGAAGGAAACATTGAGTTAGAAAACCCCGGAGATCCTTTTTTTCCCCTTCTCCAAAGACAGCACTCATTGGAATCCCAGGGCTGGCAGAGGGGCCTCCAGGACCTCTCCCCCTCCCCCATTTCTCAGGGCAAGCACCCTCCTCACCCCCAGTGGTTCTCCCTTTGAAGACCTGCCTTAGAAACCCTTTCCGGTTCTTGACTGAACCCTGACCACTTGGCTGTCTCACCAAGGGCTTCATTTCATCCCCGTTTTTCTCCCCCACGTGAAGATGAGCAGTCGGGCACTGTCTTGGCATCAACAGCGACTGAACTTGAAGATGTAAGCCTCCCACGGGGGCCCCAAGAAGTCCTCAGACAGGAGAAAAGGCAAAGGGGAGGGAAAAAGGGGGAGGGGGACTCCTATGATGGGTAGAGGCAGGGAAGAAGTAAAGGCTGATTGCAGCACCTCGGGTCTGGAGAGCAGTGAGGAGACGAGGGCAGTGAACCCAAGTGTGTAAGTCGGCACAGGGCTCCTCCCTGGTACCAGCTGGTCCACTTCACCAGCTGGCAGAGGAGAGAGTTAGGCTCCCTGGTCAGTCCCCGGAGATATCCTTGCGGCACCCAGGTCTCTCTTTGGGCCCCGAGCATGGGCCATCTGCATCCTCCCCGCACCCAGGGATTCTCAGCCTTCTGACCTTGCTCCATGACCCCGTGTTCCAACCCAGCACATCCTGGGGAACTCCATCATCTGTCTGCCCCCCACCCCGGGGGTCAAGCGTACACCCCCAAATAGGAAAGAGAATGCTAGCGCGAGGATCCACGGAGAGCTCAGGGTAACCAGGCAACTGAGGACAATAGTCAGAGGCTGCAGCCGGCCGGGCAGGCTTTGTGTGCGACACATACTCGGCACACGCATTGTCTCATCTCAACCTGCGGCAACCCCGGAATGTGAGAGAGGTTTGCGTTAACTCGCTCGCAGGTTTCTCCAAGCACTGGCTAAGCTCTGTGTGTACAGGGCCGTGGGAAGCCAAGACCTGGCTCTTGCTGAGATGCTAAACTGGGGGTGGGACCTGGCCGTCAGCCCCTGTCACAGGCTCCCAGAGCTGGCAGGTTCTCCCAAACCTAGGGCGTTTCACCAGCCCCTGATGCCCCAGGCATAAATGTCAGTCCCTCTGAAAGGGCTGCTTATTACCTGAACCTCCAGGTGCAGTGAGCCTGCCTGTCTCAAAGAACCTTCCCCCACGTGCTGGAAGGAAGCAGGGATAAAGTTTGGTGAGGCAGACGGGAAGTCCCGAATTCAGTGGTCTTCTCCTGTGGCCTAGGTCTGCCCTTACATGTAGGGGTGTTTGTAGTGTCTTAGGCTCACACAGTTCTCTGGGCCCTGATGATGTTTCTGGAAGGGGAGCTCCTTGGCACCGATTTAAAAAGCACATCCACTTCTAAAAGCCCATCTGGGCATTCGCATGCATAGGCTTAAGGAAGCCATTTGCCAGATGGAAAAACTAAGGTTCAAAGGGATGGGGCCACTTGGCCAGAGCTGAGAAACCCCACATGTCCGTCTGATTCCAAAACCCACGTGAGCACTTCCTCCCTTCATTCACGTATTCACTTAAAGCGAGTGTTGGCTGCAACCAGACGGTGCGCCCAGCCCCTCTGCCCCACACCCCCAACCATCCCCAACCCCTCCCCAAAGAAAAGGACTCACCAATTAGACATTTTGGAGGAAGGCCAAAAGGCTGGACCTAAAAACGTCTCTTGGGAATAGGCCCAGGATGGAATCAACTCCTCCGGGGGCCCCAGAGAAGTAGCGGGCATCCCTTTAGGGGCCTCCACAGCCCCAGTCTCCATCCAGCCCTCCCAAGCCTCAGAGGAAGCAGTTTTCTACCTGGGCGGGCGACCTGGGATTCCAGACCAGCTGTGTCCCTGCCCATTGGCCGAGAGGCCACCAATAGCCATTGGGATTCCACATTGAAGCCGCCACCTTCTCCATCTTTACCTGGACCGCCGGTTGGTCACTGAGGAAGAAGAGCAGACTTGAGGCCCAGCAACCAGAACATTCTTTTTTTTTCTTTTTCTTTTCCTCCCCATGCATGCGCCTTTAATTTCTCCCTTCCCTGAGCCCACCGAGCCTTTGTACTTTTGCAGTTGCAGCTGTTTTTATTTGCCGCCGCTGCTGTTGTTTTAAAAGGTCTATTTTCACATGGAATGTTATCCAATTAGCAGAGCAATGTGTTGGCTTAAATAAACA